CATGCGTACGCGCCCACGAGCAATACCGCTAGCCATGATAACCATGAGAAAATCAACTCATGGGTTTCCTTTTCTTTCCTATATGAGTATGGGGCTTCGCTTGGCGGCCCCTGGGACCGCCGGACCTCCGCTGTAACGCATCTTTCGTCAAAATGTAACGAGCGTTTGATATATTACTCAGGAAACTGGTGACCGTGGTTTGTATATCAGAACAATCATATTCTAAATTCTAGGTAAACGGTTGTTTGCTAGAAAACTGTTTATGGAAACTACAAGTCTATAACATATCTTTCGTCAAAATGTAACGAGCGTTTGATATATTACTCAGGAAACTGATGACCGTGGTTGGTATATCCGATCTTTAATGGGAGGTCTGGATTGGGGTGCTAGAATGTTGCTTATCAGTGAAATTTGCCACTATTTCTAAGCTATAACATAACATATCTTTATTATTCATATAGCGCAGAATACATGGGCATATGATCTAATGCGCTTTACATGACAATACTTATAATATGCATATAATATTACAATGACAGCTTATCTAAATAGTTAATAAATGGTAATTTATCAGTAAGAGTTTCAGCTGGTTTCTCAGTCACGGTTATCAATAATTATTATAAAACTGGATCATTGGATAGTGTAATTTAAGAGTTTTCATTCGCTTAGCCATCATGGTATACTTGTTACATACTCTTTTTCTCAGACCTCTGCTCTCAGTAAAATCCCGTCAAGACTCCCAATTAGTATGGTTGTTTACGATCTTGTTTCTTCGTTCAACACTCAAGACAGTGTCTAATTTACATACGCCTCGAAGTCCGTAAAAATATACTCCCATGCGCGTCTCTTCTTGGTGTCAGGAAATATGATGAAACACGGGCTCTTGTGTTTGATATATTACCTATTGGCACCCCATTAACCTCTCGTTTAGAAGATTGAGCTTTACTAGGTTAATTTGTAGAGAAAAAAAACTTGTCTGTATACACTCATTGCGACCAGTCGGCTAGTTAATAATTGTGAACGACACTATAAATCCTCTATATTAAAAATCGACCGTCAAGTTTATTTTAACGCTTTGTTTCAGCAAGAACGCCAAACTATAACTAAAAATGGATATATTTGTAACTGGTTTTGACTGAAGGTAAAGATTGTTCCTGATTCTGGTCTACTCGGCCGCAATCTCAGGCTGGTACTCAAAAGGTTTATAGAAATGTTCTGAACTCTTCACGGATCTTTTCAATCGTGATCGTGGTACTTAAAACTTCCTACTGGGATAATAAGCTTGTTAGGTTTCTTTCAGGGATTGAGTTCAAAAGTTCACGCATGCTTTGGCTCCATTAGGGAAGTCCTATACGCCTATGAAGTCATGGTTGCTGGGCAACAACACATACTTCCTCCTAGATTTCCTAGAGTTTCGTTCATAAAATTTGGTAGAGAGGTTTAATAAACTTACTTTGTATTACTTAGGTCTGATTTTTCTTCAGGAAAAAATATATGGCAATAAACAAATCAACAAAAGAATAACAGAAACCAAAACAAACCACAATAAACCGACCAAAATACTTATATTAACAAAAAATAATGATAAGAGGATGCCTTTGCAAATGTTGCAGCTTCTTTTCTGGCCAGGTTTTACTTGGAAGACAGAAACCGGCAAATAAAAGACACCCATATATGCATCTACTAGTGCTGTTTAAAGGGGGCGATCTTTAATACTACGTTCTCGTTGATGTGAAATTTTAGGGGTTTTCGCCGGTCTTTCGATGTTCTGTTGCTTTTGCTGTGAGTTCTTTCCATCTAGCAGAGTAATGGTCTTTCAGATATTTCACGACCAGTGTTGTCATTACTTCCATTCGTTCCTGTAGCAGAAATGTACAGGAAATATACATGTTAGGAACAAGCTTGATTTACAGTACACGTGTGTTATTTAAGGGCTTGTTGGAACTTGTAGCAGGAGCGAGACATTCGACATGCGTGCCTCCAGACCAAGATTCGAACTAGGTCGATTTCCTATGGAGCCGCCAGGATATGAGATTGATGAAGAACGCAACCGGAAAACATAAGACCAGCTTAACTCCCTAGGTTAAACCAGATACAATGCACTCTCACGTCTAACATAATATTCGATCGAGAGACAACTCTTAGTGCAGCAAATGTATAATTAGGAACTTGGCAAAAAAAGGCTAATTTTCTAGATCTAAGTATGTTCTTTTTCAAACTAAAAACGAACATGAAAAGCATACCTTTCTCATGGACGTTTTCCCCCTCGAGCAGCAAGTGCATCCACACGCACAACTACATGTACAGCTTCTACAGCAGGAGCAGCAGCAGGGAAAATGCTAGAACATTAATGAAAAATAACAATAATGAGCACTTGATTTACATTGTTCAATGGCAACATGCACCCAACCTATGACAAGAGAAAAGAAAAGGTACTGGCAAAATTAACGGAAAAAGAAAAATGGTCGTTACCTGCGATATCCAGTTTTGTCCCTCGTGATTTTCTCCCTAAATAAATGTAAGTAAATATGTTGTATTATCACTATAGCGCCACTTTTGCTTGTTTTTTTTTCCTCGTAGGTAGGATATTTGTTGCCACTTATTCATTTATCACAATTTTCTACAAATTATTGCGTTAATTTAATGTCCTAGAGAATTTCGAACTTAATAATAGACAAATTTTAAGAAAGAAATAAAGAAAGTAAGGGGTTGCACATTTAGTATGCAATAGTCATGCAGGAAAAGAGTGCGTGTTATTATATTATGCGAGTGACTGAGAGGGTTTGTTACTATATACATTTTTATTGTAATATGTAACCTATACATGTGTACAGCCTCATTTGATTACACTGACCTCACGCTGTGAGTTGCCTTGCTCTGCCAGTTAAGCGATAAGTAATGTTAAAGAAAATGATCTTTTGAACGGGATAGAGATAATGCGACAGATTTTAAGTTGTTTATTAAAGAGACACGGGGGTGGGGGGAGCCTTCGNGGGGCGTAGACTACAAAGTTTTATACGGGGAGGCTACACACCGAGGTCCAATACCTAACCCTTATGTATATCATTTAGATAGACAAGGTAACCCTGCCGTACACCTTTTATTGGGAAAAAATACCCCTTTCACATACGCACTTAAGAACACGCAATCCTTCCCTAAATTCTTGGAATGAAGTTAATGAACAGTATTACGGGAGACCATCAAGCATCCCCGGGATACAACAACAAGGTGCATCTGATCGAAATATTCTTATTACAGGCCCTTTTAAATACTGCAAGATTTCCCTACCCTTTCATATACAAGTTGTGAAATCCCTACCCTTTCATAAACCTCAACTTGTGAAATCCCTAGCCTTTTATATACCCTTTAAGCCTGAAAAAGGCACCCCTTTCGGGCGGAGCCTACCTGTATAGGCCATTATAGGGAGTATTCCCCGCCCCCGGGCTATTATGGCGATTTTGCTGCATTAAGTCAAAGCTGTGTTAAAATTATTACTGAGTATTCTCGCTTGTGCACATAATGCTCCCAGACATTTAAGATGAAGATATTCATTGAATTTTTAAAAAGAGCTTAAATACTGTAATTTGATGTTTGAGATTTTTCGGAGACACCCTGATGGAATTTGGCAGAGTCTTCAAATTTATTATAGCGCATGACATGCGCATGCATAACTCTTTACAACGACAAGTATTGCAGCAAATACAACGCAACAACAGCACAGGACAGCGCAGCAAATAATACAAACTGTTGAAAGACACGGGGACTGTGTTGCCTTTGTCGGTCCATTCCAGCCACATACGGGTTCTTGAGAATTTCCACTCCACGAGAGCGATTTCCTGAGAATAGAAAAGATTTCACTTGTATTGTGAGGGTACAAGGTTCAAGAAAACTTACACCAAGAAACGTCAATGGGATTACTAGACTCAGCTAGAACTCGATGGTCGTACCATATCCAAGTAGTCTGGACGAAGTACTCAGTGAATTATCTATCATAATTGCAAAATCTTTCTATTTTTTTTTTTCTTTTTTGATTCCTTTTCTTTGTGTTTCTCTCTAAGCTCATTTACCAAAACATCCATTCAAATTATTATTTGCCATAACTGGGTTGAGACAATCAGAAAACATGTATGCTTCGCAGAGAAAACTTACCATGACTCTGTCAAATGAGTTATTCATCATAGCGATCAGCATGTTTAAAGCTACGATGACGGTGCACACCAAGTGGGCTGTCATAAAAATGCGACCAAATGTGGACGTGAGTGAAAAGGCGGGATCTTCCACTGAGATTTTGTCTTCTTCCACGAGGCCAAGTAACAACCAAAACATTCCAATGAAAGTGTCAACTTGCCTAGAAGGAACAATTCATAATAAATTTTAATGGTTTAATTGAGGTCAGTCGACACTATCATTCTGTTAAAATTAATACAATATCTTTTGTTATACGTACTTGCCATAGGGATGAGACGCCTTGTAGCCCTGACTGTCGTCCAGTTCTCGTAGTTTGATCTGCGAAGCAACATAGTACGAGTATATCTTGGCCACCCCAGAAGCAAATGCAATGTAGAGGAGTAGAAAGATGGGGAGAAACTTGAGAACAGCTTTCAGCATTTTGTAAGGTGATAGCTGCAAAGGACCCAACACTGAATTGACTTGGAAAACGTGACCTAAGTGGAAAAAGGCCATCACCGTGGCGCTGGCGTAGATGGTATCCGCCACGATAAATGCAGATTTTCTGGGCTTCCACTCTCCGTAATACCCCCATGCACTCAGCCA